CCCCAAAACCCCAAAACCCCATTAATCAAATTTATTGATAAAATGTAATTAAAGAAAATAATCTGAATATTTAACTCTTGTGCAAAAAATATCAAAGTAATTTTTTAACAGATATCATATCTCCCTTTTTAGTTTCAAGCAAGTAATATCCATAATGTAAACTGTTAACCTCATTTTTAAGCTTTATAAGATTCACTTCACCTAGACATTAATCAAAGTCAGTTATGCTATGGTTCATCACGTTTAATGTAAATCTTTTCTTATCTCTTGTTGATTTGCATATTACAAAGGGCAATTCTTTCATTTATGAAATTGTTTTAGTTTAAGACATTACCTCCACATAATCATCTTCAAAAATTTTGTCTCTAATAGCTTTATATGAGATCTTCTTCATTTTAAATACCCTGAATTCTCTCAAATGAAAACCTAAATATTGAGATCCACATTAGTTTAATACAATATGCTGATCAAATATGAGATTTTAACTAAGCTATGCAAGATATTTAATTTCAATAAATTTCTCAGTGATTTCAGACTAATTATACACGATTTTAGGAACTTTGATTTTCGCAATGAAATAAAAACTCTCATACTCTCCATTTTTATCTGTACACTGAATTGCGTAATAATCCTTTTTCTCTAAGTTCTTAAGGTATTAAATTTAATATTTGTTTTCCTTAATTTTGAATATTGATGACTTTGACAATTAATTACTATTTTAGTATTGAAATCTTTAAATACCCTGTTGTCTATAATGATACAAGCCTACTGCATTTTTATCAGGCAATTCAAAAATTTAGTAGTACAGCTAAAGTATATCTTAATCCAATGGAATATCTAAAATATCTTATGTTTGATCATCTCCTAGATAGAATAATTTGAAGCATGTATTAAATCTAAGATAAAGAAATCCTTTAAAGTACTATTCATGTATAATGTTATCCAAGTAAGTCCAGCAAATATCAAAATCATAGAGAATTGTTGTGTTGCCTTGAGTACAAGATAATTTTTCATTTAATATAACCCCATCTTTATTCACTTAATCTATCTCCTCATTTTCTTTTTACAGGTTCAATTCAATTTTCATTATGCATCTATTATC